AAAATCATCACGAAAATATTTATTGCTTCTTGATCATGCTAAATAATGGCCCTGCAGCTGCAAGTGAATATAATAAATTTGTTGGACTAAATAATGGCCCACATTTTTTCTTCAAGTACCACATTTCCTTTCTCACATTGGAGCAAGAGGCCTGCTGGAAAAGGGAATCAACAGTGACAGGTGACTTGTCGCAGTAAATATCTGTTGGTGATAATGTGATATTCCCCACGATCTCGATCGCACCAAACCGTTCTGAATCGTTCAATTTCTATCTTCTCTTCTTCAACCCTACACGTTCACTGCTTTGCCCCCACATCTCGAGATCTTTCTCTTAGATATTTTGGACAACCTTTTTTCCTCCCTATAAATCTTGTTACACTATCCTCTCTGCTCTTCACCCCAAGTTCTTGACCCTTCGCCCAAGACCCTCTTGCAAAGAATTCCGTCCACTAATTTAATTTCAATGGCAACCATGGCTACAACTCTTACCTCTTCTCCTAAGCCATCATTCTTAGAGACCAAGTCCTCTTTCCATGGCTCCCCTATCCTTTCTCGTGTTCAGCCAGTCAAGTCTAGCCCGCAAAACTTCTCGGTTACAATGTCTGCATCCACTCCACAGTACAACTTTGATGCCTTCAAGTTTCAACCAATTCAAGAATCCATTGTTTCGCGAGAAATGACTAGGAGATACATGACGGACATGATCACCTATGCGGATACTGATGTTGTGGTGGTTGGCGCTGGCTCTGCGGGGCTCTCTTGCGCCTATGAGATCAGCAAGAACCCCAACATCCGTGTCGCGATTATTGAACAATCTGTTAGCCCTGGCGGCGGTGCATGGCTTGGTGGGCAGTTGTTTTCCGCCATGGTTGTGAGGAAACCGGCTCACAAGTTCTTGGATGAGCTTGAGGTCGAATATGATGAGCAAGATAACTATGTGGTTATCAAGCACGCGGCTTTGTTCACCTCCACTATCATGAGCAAGCTCTTGGCTCGGCCTAATGTGAAGTTGTTCAATGCTGTTGCTGCTGAGGATTTGATTGTGAAGGGTGGAAGAGTGGCTGGAGTTGTGACCAACTGGGCTTTGGTTTCGATGAACCATGACACACAATCTTGCATGGATCCTAATGTCATGGAGGCTAAAGTGGTGGTCAGCTCTTGTGGTCATGACGGACCTTTTGGAGCCACTGGGGTTAAGAGGCTCAAGAGCATTGGAATGATTGACAGTGTTCCGGGGATGAAGGCTCTTGACATGAATACTGCAGAGGATGCCATTGTCAGGCTTACTAGGGAGATCGTTCCGGGGATGATTGTCACTGGCATGGAAGTTGCAGAGATTGACGGAGCCCCAAGAATGGTAATGCCTTTTACCTAAATTATGACTACCTTTTATATCTGTTCTTAATTTGACATATAATTATATTTATTGGATGAATGGCCTAGCAATTTTATGCTCCAAATTCAACTTGTCAGCTAGGTTACAAAAGACCACATCTAATCAAATTTTGCCATATCATCTGATAAGTTGTAGCTTTGTCCACCTCAGTTCTCCCTCAACATAGTTCCAGGTTAGGTGGAGAAATGGATACTGTTAAACAATCTGAATAGGTATCGTTGAAGTAAAATTACCACTGTTCCAATAGGTTAAGATCATTTGCCTTTTGTTATCTTGGACAATTGGGTTCTTTCATATCTAATGTAGCTGCGTATTTGTTGATGACAAGTTGAAAATGGTGCTAAAATTGGTGAGAATGGCTTGTAATGTTGCAGGGTCCAACATTTGGGGCAATGATGATATCTGGGCAAAAGGCGGCACATTTGGCATTGAGGGCATTGGGACAGCCAAATGCTCTAGATGGAACTCTAAGCGAAGTCAATACTGCTCAACCAGACCTAATCCTTGCAGCTGCAGAGACTGAAGAGGTTGTTGATGCTTAATTCCCATGAACAACATTTAGGTAATTGCGCAGGGAAATCAATCACCGAAAAGGACAACCAAATCCATGATCCTTTTTGTTAGGGGAAATAGGATGATTAATGTTAGACGCGACAGTGGAATGTGTACTGCTTTAGCTGCTAGTACCATGAAATTGCCTTTGCCACATCTATTCTCATTATTGGGCATAGCATCTAGTATGATGTGAACCGGAGAATAATGCTGTATGTACAATGGAGAGGATGTTGAGGATTGAATAAAACATATGTGGCAAAGATTTGTGTGCATTTATTAGCAAGTTTACGCTTCAACAACTCAGTAATCTAATGTTCCAGATCAGAACAAGAATGTACAATGGAAAAAGTCCAAATAAATCTCATTTGCTCGAGTGTTCTGTTCAACTCCGAAGGAATTGCAGATGCTAAATTCACTTATTTCATCCTAAATTTAGGGTGTGTACTAAGGTTGCCTGCTGCTTACAATACTATGTGAACAGTTTTTTATTGGCAATCAATCTAAGACAAAACTGAGCCGTGATCAAATATTTTAAGTCCCACATTTGGGTATACCAAACCTCGCTGTCGATTCTCAAAGGCGCTCGTTTAACTTCGTTTCCTCGACGTATATATAATTCCCTTGAAACCTCAGCTCGCTGAACCAAAATCCAAATGCCTCTCCCCAAAGAATATAAAATCTTGATCAGAAACCTCTCAAGTTCAGCATCAGAAAGCTCAAATTGGAGAACACGAGTCCAAGAAAGCCAACTGACCACCCAGGTCTCGTCTATCCTCTTGCAAAGACAGACAAAATACTGGGCACCACTTCTTAAGTCCACCCTCAAACTCACCAAATTACACCCTTCTCTCTTCCTACGAGTCCTCGAAAACACTAAAAGTTCCCCTCAGATGTCCCTCACCTTCTTCAACTGGGCCAAGAAGAATCTTGATTTCCAACCTGACCTCAAAAGCCAGTGCAAGCTGACCCATTTGCTAGTCGGGTATGGACAAGCCGAGCTTGCAAAACCCATCTTGGATTCTATAATCCTAGACTACCCATTAGGCCGAATCGTGAGTTGTTTTCATAAAGTTGCTAACTTTGAGACGTGTTCCCCTGTTTTATGCTCTGTTCTCGAGGGTTATTGCCGTAGGGGATTATTTTTGGAAGCTTTAGAAGTTTATTGGAAAGCTAAAAAATTGGGGACCGGTACGGTTTCAGTTTATAGTTGTAATGCATTGCTAAGTTTGCTGCAAGATAAGAATGAGGTCAGACTGGCTTGGTGTTTTTATGGTTCAATGATTCGAAATGGGGTCTCAGAAAATCAGTTTACCTGGTCTGTTGTTGCCAGGATTCTTTGTAAAGACGGCAAATTTGAGAGAATTTGCAGGATTTTGGATATGGGAATATGTAATCCTTCGGTTTACAGCTTGATAATTCAGAATTACAGTGAGAGAGGGAAGTTTGATGCTACATTTGATTATGTAGCTCAAATGCATGATAAAAAGCTCGATCCAAGCTTTAGTATTTATAGCTCGATTCTTGATGCTGCTTGTAAATATCAAGATGAGAAAGTGATTAACGTGGTAATGGCAGTTATGAAAGACAAGGGGTATCTACCAAAAGGTCTTATATTGGAGTACGATTCAATTATCCAAAAGGTTGCTGATTTGGGGAAGACATATGCAGCAGGTTTGCTTTTTGATAGAGCCTGTGCTGAGAAGGTTGAATTGCTCGATGCTACTTATGGATGTATGCTAAGAGCATTGTCCAATGATGGCAGAATGAAGGATGCTAGTAGAATGTATGGTATTGTGCGAGAGAGAAAAATGGTGGTGAAAGATAGTTGTTACTATGCATTTGTTAATGGTCTTTGCACACAGACACCATCAAAAGAAATTCATGACTTGCTAAAAGATGTGATAGGTAAAGGATTTGATCCTTGTGTAGCACAGCTATCCGAACATATTAAGGCTCAGTGCGAACACTGTAGGTGGAAAGAAGCTGAGGAGCTCTTAATTTTGATTCTAGACAAGGGGCTGCTGCCAGATGCTGACTGTTGTTGCTCTTTAGTCAAGTATTATTGCTCTCGCAGGCAGATTGATTCAGCCATTATGTTGCACAATAAAATGAAGATGTTGGGAGGCAATTTTGATATCCCATCATATAACACACTTCTGAATAAGCTCTTCAAAGAAAGTAGGGTGGAAGAAGCCCTTGAGGTATTTGATTACATGACAATGCATAAAATATTCAGCACTGAAAGTTTTGCAATCATGATCAGAGAGCTTTGTTATCTGAAAGAATTCAGGAAAGCCATGAAATTGCATGATGAAATGTTGAGATTGGGTCTTAAGCCTAATGGAAGAACATATAAACGCCTGATCTCTGGCTTTGGATGAATGCTTGCTGTTACTGAGCCACCTTTGTGGATATAGCTATATTCCCTGTCTTAATTAGCACTTGGAATTGTAAGCTGCTGGCTGGAGATTAATAGGATTACCATGCTAGCATTTTGGTAGTTCTTCCCGTTTTAATGTTTAGGCATCCCTCCATCTGAGAGATCCAGGCTTTCACACTCAACAGAATTGAGCAGCCTTTAGGTAACTAAAATCGTCTACAAACTCGTGTTGCCGGAGTTGCTCCTGCTGGCTCATGCAGGGAAGTTTCGAAAGGAAAACATGTGTTCCCCATCACAGTATCACTTTGTTGTTATATAGTTTCTCCTCAAATCAGTGGAATTGTACTAGTATTATCTTTTCTGACTCTTTTTTCGAGTGGATACATACGTTACCAAAAAGAAACAAAAGAGTTAGACTAGTTTTTTCGGAGAATCAATTTAACTAAATGAGTGCTTCAAAGTTTTGCATTTTTAGAAACATATAATCAGGTCTGAAATCAAATTACCTGACTCATTAAGGTGGAGAAAGTAAAGTACGATTTTCCATTTAGGTCTTAAAATAAAAAAAAAAATACTACAAGAAAAATCTATCATTTTGGTCTTAAAATAATGGGAAACAAAGAAAAATAAAATTCAATACACCTCATCGTCTCTTTCTCCACCAATCAGCTTCCTCCAAAAATCCAGCCAGTCAGTCAATTGACTCAGTGCGCAAAGGCTCCCTTGTTCTCTTGGGCTCCGGAGGCTCGTTGAAGTTGAAACCCTCTTCCTGATTCCTCCTCCACGATAGCAGGCAGCAAAATGGCCTACACAAAAACCCCAATCTTCGTCGTCCTCTTCCTCATCACCCTCCTCCCGATCTCCACCAATTCTCAAGACCCCACTTCGGATTTGCTCGCCCAGCTCGAATCCCTCCAATCCCAGTCCCCCAATGGCGGCGTTATCCATCTCACTGATTCCCTCCTCAAACGGATCCTATCCATTCCAGCTCCTCGTCCCTTTACTTTCCTCATCTTCTTTGACGCCCAACAACTCCACTCCAAACCCGAACTCTCCCTCCCGTCTCTCAAATCCGAGTTCTCCCTCGTCTCTAAATCCTTTTTAGCCAACAACCCTCCAGCTTCTCACTCAAAACTGTTCTTCTTCGACATTGAATTTCAAGAATCCCAGTCCTCTTTCGCCCTTTTCGGAGTAAATTCTCTGCCCCACATCAAACTTATCCCCGCTGAAGCCACCGATGTCAAGAAAGACTCCTTCCAGATGGATGCGTCAGATTTCTCGAGGCTCGCCGAATCCATGGCTGAATTTGTCGAGGCCAAAACGAAGCTGAGCATTGGGCCGATTGATCGCCCTCCTTTGATTTCTAAGAAGCAATTGATGTTTCTCGTTGCTGTTATTCTGATTTGGGCTCCATTCTTGGTGAAAAAAGTGATTTCTGGGAACACCCTTTTGCACAATAAGAGCGTTTGGATGACCGGAGCGATTTTCGTCTACTTTTTCAGTGTCTCCGGGTCAATGCATAACATAATTAGGAAAATGCCCATGTTTTTGGTTGATAGGAATGATCCTGGGAAGTTGGTTTTCTTTTATCAGGGGTCCGGGATGCAGTTGGGAGCTGAAGGGTTCGCGGTTGGGTTCTTGTACACTGTGGTGGGATTGTTGCTGGCTTTTGTTACTCATGTGCTTGTCTATGTGAGGAATAGGAATGCTCAGAGGTTGGTGATGATTTTTGTGATGTTTGTTTCCTTCTGGGCTGTTCAGAAGGTGGTCTTCTTGGATAATTGGAAGACTGGATATGGTATTCACGCTTACTGGCCAACAAGCTGGAAGTGATTGTGGTGATTGATTTGAGGCTGATTGACGTAGAGGCGCCTTAGCCATTGGCTTTGGGTAAGAGATTTGTACCAGTTTAGATTGTAAGACAGAGCAATTGATAAGGAAATTTAAGTGACGACATAAATATTTCGACTTTACATTGTCTGTTTTATTTCTACTTAGGATGGATGTATACCTCACCGCTACCTGAGACTGCACTATATGTGCTGGTCGAAATTTTCAACACTGGCAATGTGCAACCTTTTCTCGTACTGATTTCATACTATGCCTTAAACAGTTTATTAAAAATTTTATGTTTGCAATGGCTGGATACTACCGTGCTTCATTCACTACTAGTGAGTTTCCAACAAGCATTTTCCCAGCCGTGTTTAGCTTTAGAATATACATTGTGAACTTGTTGAGTTACTTGTGTCTTAGTTCTTTCTCTTTTGTATTTATAGATGAATGTCTGCTTTCTTGTAATTCTGGGACTAATCTGTCAAATACTTTTGGATGTCCTTGTTGCGTGGTCTATCTTCTGAAATTTACACATTTAGATGATGTTTATAATTTGGTTAAAGAAAAGGGTAAGACTTCCTTTTGGCATAGGTAAAGTGAGAGGGGGTTAATTATGCTACATTTGGCACAAAGAATTGAGTTTTAGAGTCCCCTTGTCCTGTTGTAGAGGCTAATAGATGAAGTGCAACTCTTATATCTTCTTTACTTTATTTGAGATGCTTATTGATTCGACACAGTTGTGGTCATTAAAGGAGTAAAGCATAGAGGTTTCCAGTAATTATAAGTAACCTGCGAACTCTGTTTTCCAAATGTTCCCCCACACCCCCCCCCCCCGGGGGGCCCGCAGGGAGAAAAAATTCCCCAATCCTCAATTACTATATTACAGGCATAGTAAGGATTTTTTTTGGACAAGTTGTTATAGGATCTTAGAAATGGAATAAATTTTTCTAAGAGGTGCCTAACTGGCAAAGGTAAAAGTGCTGAAAAGTATATAAATATATGAATGCCCCTTTCCAGGTGTGTTTAAATAAAAAACAAGAAACATGAACAAGATGATGGTGGAAAATCTGGATTTGAGAGCTGGTATCTCAGTTGATTTTGTTGCTCACTGTGCTTTGAGTTGATCATAATTCATAACCATTTTGGTTTGATTCTGAGCAATGAGTCAACTTTTGATAAAGACTCTGTATGTCTTAAGCAAATATTCTTAATTGGCATTGTCAATATATTTGGTGACTCTTAGCTTATCTTCTTTGTAATTTTTTGTTCTTTCTTGATTCCTTTGCTAAATTGAAGGAGGAGCTTCCTGGCACCCTTAAGCTTTTGCTGAATGGAATCATGGATGGCTTATGGATTTCTTCATTTTTTTTCTTTATTAGATGAGGCATCTACTTATAGTGCCCGTAGTTTCCTCACCCTCTCCCACACACACACAGAGCCCCCCACCCCCCCCCCTCCCAACCCAAAAAAAAAACTCTCTTCTTATTTGTCCATTTTAATTCGCCAGGAATTATGAGATTGAGGAGATAATCTCTGTTGAATTTGTCATGGTAACTCTGCATTTCATCTCAGTTAGAAGATGGTACAAGGATATAAGCTATGCCATTGATAACATGATTTTGTAGCTGCTTGGAGATATACTTTTCCCTGCTGTCCAGTCTTTTGCTAAATTCTTAGATGGACATGTGCCACCATGGACTGTGAGATGAGAATGTGGGACCTACATATTGGCTTACAGGTCCATGGTGGCACAAGTTCACCTAGGAATTATCTTCCAGTTTTAGATGATCTGTTGCCTTCTGTTCTCATGGACATAAAATAAGTTGTGATAAACTGATTGTGGTTTTGGGCATGACCCTATTAATTTAGGGTTGCTGTTGATTTTGTATCCGCATGAACTATAGCTTATGGATAATGATGTCATCCATTATCTCCATTTCCACACTGAGAGGAATGCAGATAAGTATATCCAGCATGACTCTTGAGTTTGAAATTAGTGAATAGCAAGAGGCTTTTACTTGGCAGTCAAAGACGTGCATTCTTTGGTGATAACGTCTTTGGCTTTTCAATGTTCTCTCACCTAGTTAAAGAATGAATCTTGTATTTTTAATGATGATAGTGGCAGTGGAGGATCTGCAGTTGTATCATAGTAGTCTACGAAGTCTTGATACGGTGAATAAAGCAATTTGTTATTTACCTTTGTTGAATCACAGCTCATCAAATTCGGGGAGAGGTTGAATCCTCTGGTGATTATGCATCCCAGTGCATTCTCAATAGCCCTGTTAAAACTGTTTTTGTCCATTGAGGTCGTCATATATAAATGTCTGGGCTCTTAAAGTTAGACAAGGCCATGTCGGTCATCACCATGATGAGTCGGAACTTACTTGTGATGAATGAAACCTTCCTCTGTGGACAGGAGAGTGCTTGGTTAGGCATGACAGGATAGAATGTTCAAAGTTGATGCAGTCTCTACATAATCTACGAGCAGAAAATGTTTATGGATGTTAAGGTCCATGTACTGGGATGTGGTGATAGTCTTATTAGCATAAGCATCAGCCAGGAAAACAAACTCTCGTCAAAATAAAGAATATATTCCTTCCCCAAGAAAGTAAACGGATCATTTTGCGTCTTGAAGACTTCCCTATGAGGGAAATCAACTTTCAAACAGCAGTTTTTCCTCCCGACACGTTCTTTTTCAATCTCTATGGATAAAGTTCTTCTGGGGCGGCAAAAAAGTCCTGTAAACGAAGAGGGGTCGGTTTGCTTCAGGCAGATGCTCTGTGCTAGATCGCATTACGCACCCCAAATTTAATAATGTCTTTTTTCACAACTTAGCGTAGCCATGCAGCAGACTGGGAGATGCCTTGAACGGCATATTCTATTTAATTGCCCTTGTGAACCTATCAAAATCATCATTTTTCTATTGTGTCATAGCTCATATAATCTTCACAACTGCTGCAGTTATTCTTCCTACAATTCTCAAAGTCCCGAGGGAAGAAAAGGAAAGATGGAAGAACAAGTTGAAATGGTGGGGAAAGCATTTGTGGATCATTACTACCACCTGTTTGATAATGACAGACCTTCTCTTGCTCTTCTGTACCAACCAACTTCCATGCTTACATTTGAAGGCCAAAAGATTCAGGGGACAGATAATATAATTGCAAAGTTGGTGCAATTGCCATTCCAGCAATGCCATCACGTAATTAGCACCATCGATTCTCAACCATCATCCTTTGCTGGAGGCATTTTAGTCTTCGTCAGTGGTACCCTCCAACTGCAAGGAGAGGACCATCCTCTAAGGTTTAGTCAGGTACGCATGAACTCCTCTTTTTTTTAAAAAAAAAAAAAAATTAATTCTTGCTGTAGAGTGTAGATGCATTTAAAAAATCACCCTTTGGTTTTATCTTTTAAACATTTTCTTGATTATTCCATAAATTGTTCATCTATAACAAGATACTTTATTCTTAGGATGCTGAAATCCATTTCTTGGGTTTTGTCCCATGTAGAAGAGTAACACATTTGTATGTCCATGGTATGCAGATGTTTCATTTGATACCCACGGTGGAAGGAAGCTTTTTCGTGTTGAACGACATATTTCGCCTCAACTATGCTTGAATACAGTCCTTTTCCTGGCAATTGATTCTTCCGATAAAGAAAACATGTGAAAATGAGAAAAGGTTGCCCTGTGAAGTTCGATCGTGATTGTTGTTTTGTTCCAGAAATCTGATATGCTAAATATATTGTTGTGTCTCACATTGTTTTACGCGAGGCAGATTTAAATGGAGTAAATATCAGATTCGTAAGGATTTTTTGGACTAACTCTGCAAAGTCTAGTCTGTATGCCAGCAGCCAACAAGTAACAACATGCATTTAGGGACTGGATTAGTTTCGTCAAAATCACAAGGGACCAAATTGGTTCATTCATTTTACGAACATGAGTGTGTTTTTGTTGATAAAACAAAAGGGACTATATTCTATATTGGGACTAAGATATCTATTATCCCTTCCGAAAATATCACAAAATCAACCTAGTATTGAATCCACGCAAATGCAAGAAGACGATTGACTCTTTTTTTTTTTTTTTTAAGGCCAAGACAATTGAAGTTATGAACAGGATCAAGAATCGTTACTCTTTTGACACAAAAAAAGGTTTAGAAAATTTCCTTTCCTGTGTCGAAGACTAAGAAGACGGATAATCTCTTCTAGAAGAGATTGTTTGTTTAAGTAACCATACGAAATGTGGAAGAGGAAACACTGTACTGTACCTTAATGTGTGTCCTTTAAAGAAAACTAGCAAATACATCGTGAAGAGGGTTAGAATTTAGATCGATTTGATGTTCGAAGACAATGTTGTCAGTCACAAAATATTAAGATTTAAACGTTGCGAATTAGGTAGCATGGCTTCATATTGCAAAATGCAAAAGGTCGGATCTTAAGTGGTGTATTAGATAGGAGAAGAGGGGTTGATATATCACGTAAAAGTTGGAGAAAGTGTGGTGTTAATCTTCAATTTGAGCTGGTGGGAAAAGTTTGTTGTAGATGTCCTTCATCTTTCCCTGCATGGCTTATCATCTGTTAACAGAGTTGTTCACTAGAATTCTACTTCCCTTAATTCCTCCACTGTTATCATAATTATAATTATCGCTATCTCCATTTTCCAGAGACCATTCAAAATTATTTGAAATAAATTTGATAACTCACAACTTCCCCATATATATATATATATATATATATAGATAGAAAGAAAGGGCAAGTGCAAATGGCAACTGATGTCATTAAAACCTTTAGCTAATCACCTATGTTGATCCATGGCCTACTTCAGTTGCAACTTTCCGTCATTGCTATGTCCATCTCTTTTCCTTATTTTCTTCTTGTTTTGCCTTAATAACCAAAACCATTTCTTCTCTTTGTCCACTTTTTCTACTCACCACCATGCTGGTAGTGGTGTTGCAAGAATAGAAGATAGCTTGGCAAGAGCTCGTGTAGCTATATATAATGCGGCAAGGACCAATCGTACCTGTGCATTTCATAAACATCACAGATTCATTCCTGCAGGATCCGCTTATAAAAATCCTCACGCGTTTCATCAGTTAAGCAACTACTATTTACTTATTTACGTTTTTCCAGCGGATTCCTCTCTTTACACGATTCTTTCTGTGTCTAAGTTATAATGGTAGTATATCATTTTGCAGCATTTAAACTCCCAATAACAACTAAACCAGAAGCAAAAAATGTAGTATGAAAAACCCTGTCATTGATCATGATTAGGGTATCACGTCATTCTAATACTCAAGAAAAACGTTTAGGCAATGATAGGATTGTCCGAGTTCATGTCAATCACTGGTCATGATTAATGTTTATCAATCACTAACTAATCATGATTAATGTTTATCAATCAAATATTGCGATGAAAAATTGATGTAAATCCATTGGTAGGAGTTACTTAGAGATGGAGAAACGGTTCAAAGTGTGGGTATACAAGGAGGGAGAGCCACCAATATTCCACGCTGCACCTGGAACCAACATCTACTCCATCGACGGGCAGTTCATCAGTGAACTGGAGAATGGTGCCATCAACAATTCTACGAGTACTACATTTACTTCGTTCCTATCTCGCGATCCTGATGAGGCGGTGGTATTCTTCATTCCCATTGGCATAACCAACATCGTTCAGTACCTCTTCGAGCCACGCGATTACCATTCGATGATGCGTCAGATCCAAACTATTGCTGTAGATTATGTTGGACTGATATCAAGCAAGTACTACTATTGGAACAGGAGTAATGGGGCTGACCATTTCTATCTCAGCTGCCATGATTGGGTAAGATCTTTAACTCTCTTTAATCTTTGTTTTCTTATGTGTAACATGAATGCTATGTTATCGTATTGTTTGAACGTAAGGAGAATCAATCTTCGTCCTCGAAACGAATAAACATTCTTCCAAATTACTATTGCCCTATAAACTTTCGTCCATTTGCAAATTGAGAAGCTTATCAACATCTTTGGCTTCTCTTATAATCTTCTAGTAAGGCACATGATAAAGAGTCCGTTCTTTGAAGTTTTTGTGCAAAAGGGTATAATTTTTTTTTTTTTTTTGCCAAGATACATACAATTTGACGGTGGCTAGTAATTTTAGAATCCACACCACATGTTTGGATAGTAATTTTTTCCAAATTTCGTTCATGTTTCATGTAAGTAATTGTACGTTTACGACAGGGGCCTTGGGTTTCGAAATCCAATCCGCTGTTCAGAAATGTGATTAGAGTGCTCTGCAATGCCAACGTTAGTGAAGGTTTCAAACCTACTAGAGACGTCTCCTTACCAGAAATCAAAATCCCTTATGAGGGGCTAGGGCCACCAGTCTTGGGGAAACCTGCTGAGCAACGATCCATCCTTGCATTTTTTGCTGGTGGACATCACGGTCATGTAAGGGGAAGCCTAATTCAATACTGGAAAGACAAGGATGCTGATATTCAAGTCTATGAATACCTCCCAGAAAATGTAGATTACTTCGAATTTATGGAGCGATCCAAGTTCTGTTTATGTCCCAGTGGCTATGAAGTGGCAAGTCCTAGAATAGTGGAATCTATTTCATCAGGATGCGTACCTGTGATCATTTCTGATGGCTATGTTCCACCTTTTAGCGATGTTCTGGATTGGAGCCAGTTTTCAGTGTCTGTTCCAGTTGCCAAGATACCAGAACTCAAGTCTATCTTGCAAGCGATCCCCATGGATGAGTACTTGAAAAAGCAGAAGATGGTCATGCAAGTCCAACGCCATTTTATTCTTCATCGACCTGCTCAGCCGTATGATTTATTGCATATGGTTCTTCACTCTATCTGGCTCAGGAGGCTTAATGTGAGGCTACCACCATAACAAGAACATTCATTTGATCATCCTTGTAATTCGTTACCAGACAAAATGTACTACTACTACATAAAGGAGGAAATACAGGACTAGCCAATTTTTTAGTCGCAGTAGCTAGCGTGTTTTGAGTTTTATTTTTTGGTGTATTTTTGCGTATTAGGGTTAATTTTTGGGGTGTATTTTTGGGTGTTTTTGGATAGTTTGTAAGTGTTTTTGAGGAGTTTTGTTATAGTTGTGTATTTAAAATACACATGTTTAGCAATAAATCTAACCCATACCAAGTATGGATTTAGGGGGAGAGGGGCAACCGGTCCCTAAAAATTTTTAAGATTTTTATTTTGTACCATAGATTTTAATAAAAAAACTCATAATATCACAATTCTTGCCCCCTCAAAAATCTTTTTCTATTCATCCTTTATCCCCCTTTCCCTACAATTGCAAGTTTTTTTTTTGAATTAATTATTCTATGAGATAAATTAAGTAAAGAGATATATAAGGAATGCAAAATTTGTATACAATTATCAAGGAACTAAGTTACTATGAATAGTAAACCAACTCCCAATAGAGGAGTTGACAACCACATTAATAGTGGGATAGGAGGTCAAGGGTTCAAACCTTGTCTCCCATCAATATGTCTCTATATGAGAATTGTTTTAAATCCATACGGGTGAGTGGTGCACCCGACTCAATTGGGACTGCACCTAGTTTACCATATCAATACACATAATCACAATAATTGCTTCTTATATTTATATAGTTTCCTAAATTAATTATATTTTTTGAAAAGAAAAAACTAGTACCTAGCCAAACCAAAATTTTAATACTAGAAAATATATAATAATTAGGAAAATTAAATAAGTCGGCGAAAGACAAATTTCACTTCAATGTTGTGTCATTTAGAATTTAACTTTTGACCTAAAGTTTCTTCTTTTTATTTGGAACATTTTCAATTAATCATAATTTCTCCCTTATTCTACAGTTTTAGATAATCTTCGTTGCAAAGATTCTTTTTCATGCAAATCAATTCAACATACGTTAAAAGTTGGCTAAAATAGAAAGTTGCACGATTATTGATCTTCTACTTTAGAAGGACTTGAAGAAACTTGTGTCCTGGGGAAAATTCCAAAACTTACTCGAAGAATGGATTTCACGATCAATCACTGTCAAGCTAACATTAAACGGAAAAATAGTATTAGTTTTGTGTTAACGCTGACATTAAACTAGAGAAAATGAATGAAATTGAAAGGAATTCGTGCACATGATTGCTAGGACTTTAGCCCGCAAAGTATTCCAAGTTGGCGTATTTAATTAGAAATGGCAGCTGTGGATTTCTTGTCGTTTGCATCATAAATCATAATTATGTCGGCGTTGTGTATTCTAACTGGATTCCACATCTATGCGGGCAAAATAGAATTTTATGCATTGGCATTGAGAAGAAAATTGGCTTTAAAAGAAATAAAAGATTAATCACTAGATTAGTCCGGGATCACATGCCTTTTGGCTTTTCAGTCAATTTTTTTTTATGCTAGTTGTGATTAATAAATTTGTGAAATGAATGCTGATCTTATCTACTGATGCATTGCTTCCCATGGCAAGGGCATATACTTTTTATTTTATTTTATTTTATTTTTACCTTTCACCCCTCTTCACACTCTTCCCATCTTCAACTATCAGTCTTAAAATTCGAATCCTCTCAATATATCTTTTCCCCGCTTACTAATATGTGACAAATTCTAAGAAGAAGATGCCCTAATTGTCCACTATCCTCATGATTAATGCTCGCAAGAAGTCTTGACAAATTCTGTATTTGGAAAAAAAAAAAACAAATTGTCTTGACAGACAAATACCAAAGGTCTCTTGAAACAAGTTAATGACTGTGGGTGGGTTCATCACTGGCCGCTTCAATCCCGGGGTATCAAATTCTTGGTTAATTTCACGACTAAAATCAGAAT